ACTTATGGATTGCTTGCAATACTATGATAATTGCTTGTTATTTATGAAAATAATACAAAATTCATAATTAAGTTTGCTACATTTTCCGGCTATTACCATTCTTATAATGCTTTCTCGCCAAAACTTTTCTAATATCGGCCAATAGCGTAACAAATCGGTAATTTCCGGAGCGTTATTTTTCATTATCTTCGGTATTCAATAATTTTAAGCCGTTTATAACGGTATTTACTACATAGCGATAAAGGATGAGTGATTTTAAATAATCCCATGGCCAAGATTTTGAAAAAATAACGTTCCGGAAATAACCGGTTTACGATATTGGCCGATGTTAGAATTTTTTGGCGGGAAATCATTACAGACTTAGGATAAATATATATCCCCGTACTGCCACTTTCCGATCAGCTAACAGATTTTTTCTACAATAACTGACAGTTAAAATATAAAAAAAATCTCTTACAATTCTGCAAATATTTCAGGTAGTAAATGCAACAACTTTTTTAAATTTCACCTGAATTATTATTATGTATCGAAGACAAACCATTACTGACCCATTTTCCTCTATTTCAAATTTTCACTGCCATTTTTTAATCAGTTAACAAAATATATACTGTATCACAAAAAATGTCATACAATGTTATAATATAAATAATATATAATTAATATCGATTTCTGCAGGCTGACAAAAAAAAACTGAGTCTGTAAACCAAATATTTTTAGAAAATTATTGCGATTTGTAACTGGATAAGTGGAAAATGTTTATTTTACATATTTTGAACTGAAATACTGGTATTTTGTTTTTTATCGCCATAATTGACATTGTTGCTGATAAATGTAGTCAAGGTAAACAGAAGATGTGCTTACAGTCCGGTCACAAGACAAATAAGATCAAAAGCAAAGAATTTCTAGAGGTGATTGAAAAAGTAGTTGTGATTGAAAACTGGTAGTATGTGGATATGACAAAGGAAGTCATGTTAAACATTAGTAATTATGTAATTGTTGTACAGAAGAGAACAATCGAAATAGAGTTTATATGTAAGAAGTTAAAATTATGTATGACCTCATAAGTTGCCTTGCACATTGTATTTTGCTAACATTTTTGCTTGTTGGTGACGGTTCTTGCTCTAACCTTTTTCTATGGATTGCTACACATGGTGACGGCTTTTTGCTTTTAGAAATGATGGTAATCCATAAAATTAAGGTGCTGTACTACATGCATACTTTCTGAATTCATCAGGGATTGGATTTTCCCCTTTTCCCGTCTTCCTTCATTTGTGTAAATTTTCCGTACTGTTGATTACGATTTTGCATTTTTGATAAAACATTTTATATAAGTATATGTATAAAAAGATTTAATTTCGATTAAACAGTTTAAATATAGTTTGTTTAAATCTAAGTAGATAAATATAAATTTCATTACTGTTTACTGGTATAATTAAATGTCATGTTTCTGAATGAAGTGTTTTAACTGAATTGTCGAGTTGAAGTTGATTTTCTTAAGCATTTTAATGAGTCTGACTTGTGGGTGCTTTGCGCATGATGAATTACTGTTAACGTGAGCTCTCATTTCCCTCATTAAAGGCTACAAACCAAAGAAACCACGTGATCCATTATTACGTCATAACTCAGAAGATGACGAAATGAGATTTTCAGGCCTTCGTACAAAAGCCGATTTACCATCAAAAGCTTTTCACAGGCTTAATAAAATGGTTTGTTCAGACAATCTGAATACCGGTTCAAACCAGACAATCAATCGAGGAAGCGACGAGAATAATGGTAAGAACTCAACGGATGATTTTAAAGTATATATCACATATAAACGTATATCAAATATAGTTATATCAAATTATAGTCTTCTATATCTTACGATTATATATCTATCTTTGGATTCTTTGTCGAAGTCGTGTAGTTTATAAGGTAAGTGTTGCAAATCTTTGTGGCAATGCAGTGCTTTTTTATTCTGTGATGCTTGATATTTGAATTTTTTCCCTCTTTGTTGCTTTTTTGTAAATTTATCCTTACTGCACACTGCTGATCCTATATAATACTAAAAGTCAGTCGAATACCTCATTCCAAATGAATGTGATAGTATAATAGGTGGTGAGTATGTCATCACAGCAATATCATTATCATTATAAAAAAACCTATTACAGAGGAGCCCGAAATAATAGGAAATTATAATGAATCAGAATGGTCTATAAGATTCAGATGTTATCATATTCCATCACCATCTTTCCCACTTCTCCAGACGCTTGCAAAGGAAGACGATTTGAGGAAGCAGTCGGGTTCTCGTAAGTATAATGTTATCCTATTTGCTTAAGCCAAGTTCATAACTCTGTTCAATTTATCGTTTTTAGTTATATATCCAATCCTTTTTGAATTGTTGGCATTTCTTATGTTATTGTAATCAGCATGGCCTTAGATGGTACATGTATTCATGTGATACATTGTTATAAATATGAAGCTTGAAGATACATTTTATGATAAAGATGCGCCTCTTCTTTTACGAATGCATATTCTTTTCCACAGTCTATTGTATCTATATTTATCATTTAAAATAAACTTAATGATCTCTTTTAGAATGCAAATCAATAAAAAACGGCAATTGCAAGAGCTTATAATTATGGCATCTGTTTGAATTGACTGTCTTAGATTTCATTCGATGTTGATGTTATTTACGATTAAGTTTATTTCTATAAAAATGTATATTACTTGAGTAAAATCAAAGAGATTTGTACACATTTTCATTTATAGACAACAATAATGTCCAAGTAAAGTCTCGTTTTCTTTTAATATGGACACGTTTTTTAATCATAAATCATGATAAATGCAATTTATGTGATGCCAACGGCGAAATCATTGATAAAATGTTAACTGAAATATCTAGTTAACAGATAAAACTCTTGAAATTTTAGACGTATGAAATTCCTGTGATTCTTACGGCCAAATCTTTAATAAAAAGTTAACTAGTGAACCGCTAAAATTCTTGAAATTTTAGAATATCATTTCAGGTCAAGAACCTATTCCATTACATTTTTTAGCAAGTTTGTTTTATTCTATACTCGTTATGGATGGAACGCCTGTTGATAGAATACAGACATATGAAGCAGCATTGACAATCATATAAATTACATCATACTTCTAAAAGAATTAGAGTGATATGGTTTATAACCATTGGCTAGTATATCAAAGCGAGGGGTCTTGTGTAAAATTAGATGTTTTACAGTGTGTGGGTGTCCATTAGTTATCCGTTTTAAATGATCACGCACTGCAGAATAAGTATTGTTCTCGAGTCTTTAGGGACTAATTTCTGTGACAGGAAAATTACATTGACTGTCAAGCTGTCCAGTTCTATTGTATTACATTCATGGTATTATTTAACATCGAATGTATTCAGATTGATGTCTGATTTGACAATATAGCAATTAGAGATTGATATCTGATTTGACAATATAGCAATTAATATCAACCTCTATTTTGTGTCCTTATTACTCTAGTGTATTATATTGATTCTTTTCAGTACAATGTGTTTTACTGCTTATTTTTAATCTCATAAAAGAGCTATATTCATTTAAAAAAACAACTTATCATTGTTTCGTTTACTTTAAAAGTAATGTTTATAGATGAATTACCTATAACTGGCATTATGCATATTTGTACTCATTTAAAAGAGTAATTTATGTAACAATACGTTTGAATCAAATATTGTATTAACAAAAATTACTGTGATGAAATAATATTATTAGCATTCTTAGCATTAAATTTTCATACAGAGTATTTGAATAAACTCAGTTTATATTTAATAAAGCTTCTGATAATTGAGACTTGTAATTATCAGTTATTCTAAAATTCTTATACGTTTCTTTTCTAATATATCATTATCATACACATTTGTTGACTTTGTGATGTCGCCACGTTTATGTGTTGTATATTTTAACCTGATGTTGAATGTTTACCCCCTACCTGTATAGCTTCAAGTCGTACAATTAGTGATGACGAAGATGACGGTATGCCTGATAGACTTAACGAGGAAGACATGGTTGATAAAAGGTATACTGGTGCTCATATACCATCCAAGTCTTTCAAGGCACTCCAAATGTACAAGGATGATGATAAAACTGGTATGTCTTGACCCAGAGTTTGTCTGATTTTCATATTTAAGGATTAAATGATGACTTTCTAGATCAAAATGTATAAAGATTCGCAAATTGCTTTTGAAAATCTTTTTGTGTTTCAATGTTTTATGCTTTGTTGCAATGTTATAAGAAGTATTTGTGTGTAAGATAATGAAATTATATTTATTTTCTAGTTGATAATAGTTATTATTTCCTGGTAAGTTGACCTGAAACGGCATTAATGTAAGGAATGTAATTTTGAAAATGTATTTGAAATATTCTTTGCTACATGAAATCATTATTCGACAAATAATAAAAACCTTTGCCACAACTCCATCAAAAACTGATCATTTCATTTCGTTATTTATTTGAAAACATATTTTCATATGAATATGATTTATCAACGTGACAGCAAGAGACAAATATATATTATAAGATACATATTACAACTGCACAAAAGGTTGCATAATTTCAATATTTATCAATTATCATGCTTTCGTGAGAGCAAAGAATGGGAAATAAGAACAAACCAAATTTAACAACAGACAAAATATGCTTAGCAAAACTTATTTTATTGATTACAATTCACCAGTTCCTCGAATTTGTGTGTAGATATTGATATATTATTTCTCTATCATTTTAGTTTTAATCTCTTACAAATATCCCATTCAAGCATTTTTGTTACACTATAGACCTTTTAAGATACAGTATTAAATAAACATGGGATGCAATATATATTTTTACAATGAAATCATTAATCATAATGTGAGGACAACTGTTCCACCGACGCATATTTTCCACAAAATACTGAACCTTTGCACTAGTCATTTCGATATAATGCTGGACGTACTAGTAACAATATTTTACACATTTATATTATACAAATAGGAAGCGAAGGGGATACAGGCGGTCCGAAGATAAAAGTAATCAGCCCAACCAAGTCACCAAAGGTTTCTCCAAAGCCCGACAGACCAGTTAACAGTCCAGTTCCTCAGCCAAAAGAAGCCCCATACACTGACTTCTAAATTCACTTGCTTGTTAAAATAATATGAATTTTGCTATATGAATATAGCAAGTGAAATAATGACAAATATTTTCATATGTGCAACGTGAAAACCACTTGAAAACCACTTACAGGAAGGTGTCAAAAAGAAATCTTTGCTTTATAATGTAGACAAACTGGTGATCAACAACTATTGTACTAAGATAATGAGATTTTTTTTCGTGCAGTGCATGCCGTGAATAAAACAGTTATATGAACAACGATTTAACAAGTATTGTCAGAAACTAATAATTTTTTGAGATAATGATAATGTTTTAATGAAATTTACATTTTGTATATTCTTTTTTAAATAATGAATTTGAAATTTACAATGTTTTAAATGTTACAATTAAATTTGTCGAATGTCATTTTTCATGTTTATATCTGGTCAGAATGATTGCACATCATCAATTAAGATAAAAGTATGTATATATGTTGTTATGATATATTTTCAACGAACTCTAAAGTTATTTAAACTTTAGAAAATAAATGGTTTGAATGGTCAGAACATCTCATAGTATTGAAGTATTGATTAAATTGTACTAAACTTGTATGATTTGGATTTCAGATTTCTAGGTTTATCTATTTCTGTCCATGCAAACATGTGTACTTTAACAGTAGTTTATCATATAGACCGTACCTGTATATCTAATTAACCTCCCAAGTGTGACATTTTCATCGTTTTTGTATTATGAATATTTTCCAAAACATAGGTTTAAATTTGAGTAATTATGTAATATTTTATGCGTGTATTGTGAACAGAGAATCGAAAGAGGTGTGTTTGATATCATTGTACAAGTTTATATAGTTGTTTTAATTAATTATATAAACCTTGTTAATCGTACATTAAGAATGTTGGTATGAGAGAAAATATGATTAAATTTAGTTGAGTGCAGCTTACTTTTCAGGTAAATATGTTCTGCGCATGTATTTAAGAAAAAGCGATTTGTGAAATGAATGATTAGAAAGGTCTAAGTTGGACTTAATTGAATGAAATATGTCAAATAGGAAAGGATTTCTTTTGTCATTGATACTTATTTTGAATGTATAATGTGCAATATTTATTACTAATATATAAATATACTATAAATGTAAATAGATAATCATATTTGCTTACACACATATATATGTACATTAGCACTGCTACGAAATGTTGAATATTATAAACATTTATTGAATTCGTTTTAAAGAGCTAATTTTCAAACAAACAAGAATTGATTTTCAGAGAAAATTGGCATATCCTTTCTTGGAATAAGGATACAAAGAAAACCTAGCAATACCTAGCAATATTATAACGAACCACAATGTCGCTATCAGTAATGCCATAATTGTTTTCAAACATTTACTTTTCACATTGGTACTTAACTAGTTAACCTGTTGTGAATAGAAATTTCACTGTTTCTTTTCTTCTTCTTTTTAAACTTTGTCAGATATTTGCATACTTCATGATCTTACGTAATCTAGAACGACCTCTTCTTGAAAACTTACATTATGAAATAAAACAACATATCCCTACTGTGATTCCCATGACGATCATGTTGATTTTTATCATTTAAACATGTTTGATTAGCTTGTGCCATTTCTTGACATTGAATATGAACAAAGATACAATTTTTACATAGCTACATGTATAATGTTTACTATTATTTTTGGATGATTTTATGTTATCACTGCATATTCAATTATTTATTTAAGACTCAATATTTAAATGAATGTATTCGATTAACGAAAAGCTAGCTTTAAATAATATTACCATTATATATATCTTTATCAAGAAATAGTTTAAATGTATCTGTATTTGAAATGATAGTATCAGAGTAAGAACGTTTGCTTTCACTGTTTATTTAGATAGATAATGTTAAATCTTAAAACATTTATTTATTTCTACCTTGTTTATTATACTGACATTGGTATGTTAACAATGTCACGCAGTGGAAGTGTTATTAAATCGTCTTTCTGTGATATGTGTTCTTTTTTATTGTTTTTTCATTGGATAATAAAAAAAATACGTTTTCTTTACAACTTTAACCAGAAACAACAGACAACAACGAAAGGAACAACACAATCGACGTACATGTAGCTATGTTCGGATTTCCATATCATTTCATTTCCTGTTAATGACATTAATCTTTTCCAATGAGGATATATTGTGTTGTTTGATTTACAACACATTTCTAAACTTAAATTAGTCTTAAATTACTGTCTCCATTTGTTTTCGATAACGAAATCCCTGATTTACTTATTTCTTGAAAATCAAACATTTACTCTCCTTTATGAAAATGTATTTTCTTTAAAAGCATAGCTGGATAATACTTGACTGTGACAATAATCTGGAGCAATTATGTTAAAACTATGTGTTAATAATCTAAACGGGTTTTTAGTAGGTTTTCTGGCATATGCTGAAAATTTCACAACAATTATAAGTATATGTAACAGTTACAATACAAACAGTTCCAACTCTTAATGTTGTAAAATATTTTCAACTTGATCGTTTGGACATATTTGTTTTACATAATCTCAAATACTGTGTATTAGATAAGCTTAAATGACATCTTTACTAGTTACATTCGACAAGATAAATGGAAGTATTACCTTTGAAATAATGAGTTTGATAGAAATATAAAACCGCAATAAATGCCATAACAGCATGCGTGATTTAATAATTTTGTGAACAGCTTGAGTTGTCAATCATTGTACTGGTCAAAACGTTCTACAGCCTTTAATAGTACATAAACCGTCATTGGTACTGATGCAATGTTATACAATAACATTTATACATTTCACTGGAATGACTGAAGAACAAAAGGGTAGACAATGTTTTTGATTATACTCATTGAGACATATGATATACACTGGTTTAACTTTAATTTCAGTCGGCCATATAGATTGCACAAACGCGCATCTTAAGCTACAATGCATGTGAATATATTAACTATATGTATGGGATGAAATCCTTAATACTACTTACACACAAGAAAAAACATATCATGGCAGTTAGATATTTTGCATTTAAATTTAGTTATTGCCAAAATATTGTGATCCAATAATTTTCATTTCACGGACAACATATTTAACAAATGAAAGTTATACCGAGTTATCTTTCGTTGATCTACTAAACTGATCAGTGTATTTGGTTTTCAGCAACGTTTCAATTTTCCAGACTACAGCTAATCGAACGACAAGTATATATTTGTATGTTGCACAATTCGTGCTAACAATGTATAATCAATATGTTATTGTTGAAATCTACAACCATCAATGTCAGTAGAGAACAGAAAGCATTGTATTAACACGCAAATTTCCTGTACAAGTTGTTTTGTCTAGAGAATATCATTGCTTTGTTTTGAGTTTTAACCTTCGTGAAATAAGATGGCTTAAATGAATTGGTGTTTTACTCTCTGCATTAGCAATTATCGAAAGAAAAACTGTTTGCCTAATAATATGTTGTCACATATTGTATAATGTCTAGAATATTCCTAGTATAATCATGTAAGTCTATTTAAATTGTAGTTATCTTGTGTATAACAGCAACTAATGAAGTCCTATGTTTTACAAGAATTTAGTAAATTAAATTGAAGTGTAATCATTAAAATACTTTATTACTGATAAACAAACACCACGTTCAAATCAGTACATTAATGTTGATCAGGCACTTTAAAACGACAAGACAAACGACCTTTTGACAAGGATAAGATAAACATGTTTTTATCTATTCACAGCAAAACTTGTTCTCAAAGGCTTCGGAAAATTTTTCCCATAGTTTTAATATTTAAAAAAAATTATGTTGTTACATGAATAATTGAAATAGATATAATCATTGCCTTTATGCGAGTTTAGAATGTCAAAATTATGTAAAACAGAATTCAGGCAACTTAAAAATCGTATCTTGTATGACTATTTTAGACATAGATAGTTTGCATTAAAAATATCAGCTCTCTATATTATTGACTTTATATAAATGACTGTATACAAATGACTTTATATTAATAGTATATCATTGATTTTATGTAACTGACTTTAAGTTACGTTCATTGAACGCCGCCCTTCCATGTAGATCTTGTTTTTCATATTTTATATCATTGACTTAATATTACTGACTTTATATACAATGTAATTGACTTTATATCATTGACTTTATATGATTGATTTTATATAAATTTATAGTTTTTACATCTTTGCCAATATATCATTGATTTTATGTTATTGGCTTTATATCATAAACATTATATTATTGACTTTATATCATTGATATTATCTCAATATATACATCACTTAAATGAGCGAAATAAATTCAGCCAAATATATGTACATAACTACAAAAAAACATTTTGATACAGCTCAACAGTTTTATAAAAGGGATACATTGAAGCCATTATAGATCGATTCTTGTGAAACAATTAAAGAAATATGATTCCAAGAGAGCTGATTCTACAAACTAACAGACATATGCATAAATAGATGTAAATTACGACGGAACTCTGAAAACTATTAACACTTATAAATAAGTTGTAAATATATCAAATGACAGAGCCAGTATTGTTGTTAAATCTTAGGGGACACATTCCTGTGACAGAGAAATTACATTTATTGTCAAGCTGTCTATATGATTCGTTAAATGGTAGAAATCCAGACCATTGTATTGTATCTATATATTGATATTATTGTCAGAAATGACAAGTTAATAACAAAAATCACAGCATGCAAGTCGGCATATAGATGACATATCTGAATTAAGCCATATTAACCACAGAATGACCAAAGGATTGAAGTTATGTGATCGGACATACGTCTGTGCAACGATTCATTTCACCTAGCAAATTAAGACAAAATGTATAATATTCCAAACCAGTTTCCATTACATTTGTACCATTTAATACTTTGGAATACAATAAGTACAATATGCATAAGTAATTGTTCCCAAGATAGTTGATATGTTTATGTTTGATATAGAGATATAAAAAACACCTTTTACTGTATTCAAATCATAAATGTTATATGTTATTTTGGTTTTGGAGTGATATATTTGGATATATTACCTGTCAAGATTGTATATCACCCGAGCCGTTAGGCGAGGGTGATATTTTATCTTGGCAGGTAATATATCCACATATATATCACACCAAAACCAAAATAATAATTGTATCACCCTTCCCGTGCAGAGTTAAGACGATTTTAAAATAAATCATTGCTACTTTAAATGAAACGTCGAAATAAGATTCCCTGTAGAATACCCCTTTACCATAACATGACGTCACATAAATACATGACGTATATTCTTTCGAACATAACGGATGTAAACAAGAGAAAAGGAGTAGTCTGTTGAACGCACTTTTTTGGAATTAATATCAAGCTTTCACAAGGTCATATTTGTTTCCTATACTGACGAGAATATGTATCATTACTCTGTTTTGGTAAATATTTATCATTTGACAGTTTAAAAGTGCTTGTAAATCGGAATTTATATCGCATAAAATCAAACCGTACGCGCATCGCACGGCGCATGTTGTTTACAACGTGGGGTACCCATCGGGGAAATTTAATGTGTATATTACCCGTCTGGCTCGGTAATATCAATTTCTTTCGGGTGATCAATATCCAATCAAAAAGGCGGAAAATATCTGGAAGGGTAATAAAATAATATATGATATGTTAATACAGGGTGTTAGTTTAGATATGATATTATACATAAAACACACTATTAATCCATTTCACAACAGCTGGTCACAATTATAATTTGTAAACAAATCTCATCTCTATTGGATCCAGTTTCAGTTTCAAACCTTTGTAATACCGTTTTATTTCAAGCAGCATAAATATTGAAAGCTTTAATAACTTCTGGTTCCATACTTGTATAAAACTGTTCTCAAAACATGTTTGATTATTTAGCAAAGGCACATCTGACCAAATGACAGTGTTTATTTTATTAGAACGTTGACTGTCTCGTCCAAAAATAAAAAAGAGAAACAAGATATATTTTAAACAAACATTTAAACGAGATAAATACAAATGTCATGTAAGTAATGATTAAAGGAAACTCCTCTGAGGTCTACTAGCCGTGAAATATTCAATTTGATTTGATCAGCTAGGGTACTTAAAACACAAAGATGTGCAAAAGATAATTAAACATACACTCAGAAAAAATAAATTGATAATTGTATGTTTGTGCTATTCTTAGCCCGATTTAAGTGAAAAGCGTTGCAAGTTTGTATTTACGTATTTCCATAAAATTGATATTTCTTACTTGAAATTGCGTGAAATACGATTACATTTTAAGCATGTGCACCTTCTCATAATTATTATGAATGTGATTCTCAAAATGTTAAAATAATGACTATAACTACAGAAAATTTGAGTTTGAGAAAAGTTTGGTTGAAATAAAAAGATTATTAAGAGAAGTGCCATATTTCATGACCGACAATTTTAGACAATTCCTTGATATACAAAGATAATAATTCATTTATCAGTGCTGACTTTCAAAATAATTATAATAAAAAGAAATATCCGGTTTGCGTTTCGTGCAACCAATTTTAACATTATCGGCTTAAAACAAAAGAAAATCTTTATACTTAAGAACTCGAACATATCAATTTTATATAGATCAAAAACAAAGCAGCCTTTATGGCCTGTTTTCTTTGGAAAAAATACTTAAGAAATTAAAGAATTATTTCATTATTCGTAAGGAAAATCTGGTTTTCATGTTTTTTTTTTATTTTAAGGATAAAACAAACTTTACAATTAAATGATCCACGTAAATTAGCTCAACACTGTTTGTCATGTGTCTGATATCGACTCCCTGAAGACCTTACCTAATGAAATCTGACGATAAAATCGTCGTTTGTACACATTAATAAGGATTCTCTGCGACTCTCTCTCTCCCTGAAAACACAAATACGCGCGAGTGATTAAACTTCTTCTTTTACAACCATAACATGCGTGGTGACAAAATCTAACTTTTAATTTAT